CCTTCTTAGGCAGAGGAGCAATAGATGTCTTCAGAGAAGAGTCAGCGTCTTGGTTCTCGGTGTCTGCCTTGCGCTTGCCCTTCTGGGGGCTTTCGACATTGGGACTCTTAATCCCAAGTGGTGCACGTCTCACTGCTGGCGCAACAGGAGATCCGGTTTCTGTGGTAGAAAGGCGGTTTCGATGAGTTCGCTTGATAAAGTCTCTCATATAGTCGCGTCCCGGGCTGTCTTCGTAATGGTTTTGTTGAGCAGGCTGGCTGCCATGCTGAGTGGAATTGCCACTTGAAGCAGCGTGAGGCTCTTGATGAGCAGAGGCGGGCGACGTCTGTGAAACTGCTTCGTCGTGGGAAATAGATCGGTTGACTGGTGTGAATGAAGTATTCAGTTTGGTCTCGGGTGATGGAGTCCTGATCGAGGGGCCCTGATTCTCCTCGACAGTCACCACAGGAGGACTGGCCAAGTCCGATACGGCTGAGATGATGTGTTCATTGTGCATCGAAGAAGGCGAGATAGCTTGCTCAGTTCGTGGCGAATCTTGACCGTTTGTCAAGGCAAGTTCGTTGACTTCTTCGAAGGTAATTCGTGGTGATGAAGATATGCAAGAAGGGGTCGTGGTGAAACGAGATTCGTCCATGCCCTGACTATTGGGAAACAAGTATGTATACTCGGTAGGTAGCTTAAACCTAACAACGAGCCTGCCGTTCTCTTCAGTGACCATGACCTTAGCCTGGCCACCGCAGCATTCGACAGCCATCTCAGCCAAGCGATTGATTGCCAGAGGACTGGAAACGGGAGAAGGACCGGAAGCTCGAAAAATGTTGGGATGTCGGCGCACGTCGATTTTGCGCATGCCGTCTTTGTTCCCGGCTCGCTTTGGAGCGGGTGTGCTCTGGACACCGTCGCCAGACTTGCGACCTGTCATTTTGCCCCAAGAAATGGCAGGTGTCGTCATAGTCGAGGCAGGCTCGGAAAAAGCTGGCTTTTCGGGAGTTCGACCCAAGTTCATAGGAACAGGGTTGTGGCCATCGGAGGCAACTTCGTGTTGTGCCACGAAGACACCCTCACTCGTAAAGTCATACTTGCGAGGCGAGATTGTCTGTCGTCGGGCAATCTGTGTTCGGACGAGGCTGCGAGTCACAGGTTCACTGTTGCGTCGAGTGATCTTTTTGGTGGTCTGTTTAGCTCTACTAGTAATAGTGCTACTGAGCCAGGTAGGCGCGTTGAAACATGAAGTAGAGGGCCCAAACTTGAGTTGAGCTGAATCAATAGACGAAATCGGTTGCAGAGAGGATTTGTCGAGCTTGGGTGTCGATGTCGGAATGGATTCGACTAGGCCCAGACCAGCCTTGCCATTCTGCAGTGGAGTAGCAGTCTGAAGAGGAGTTGAAGGTTCCGCCTTGGACACTTTCGAAGGTGTCTGCGCAATAGGTTCGGAGACCTTGGTTGGTGATAGCTGAAGTGACGGACACAGGTTCGTAGTGTTGTTCAAGTTCGAGAACGAAGAGTCATATGAGGGTGCACAGAAGTGCTTCGTCGGGCCGGGAGACAGGCAGGGAATATCAGCAAGTGGTGAAGAGGGTGCACCGTGAGCGATGACACGAGCCAGTGGCGAAGGGCTCTGGGCCGCTTCAATTGAACAAGGCGAATCAACAAAAGGTGTGGAAGGTGATCCAAGAGATTTGACAGGAGAAATGGCCACTTGGGGGCTCGTCGCAGGCATCAGCTTGACGACAGTATCGCTCAAATAACGAGGAGAGGCCTTGAGTGGTTCAATGGGAAGCGGTGATTTCTTGGTTGGCGATTTGCCCGACTCGTCCTGGAACTTGTCAAGCTCAAGCATGCTCAGAGGTTCAGGCTCATCTGCAATGACCGGCAGGGGTCGTTCGCCACATATCGCAACTCGCTCTCGGGTGCTATAGCATCCCATCTCTTTGAAATTGTAGGCCACATCAGTAATGGAACCTTCCAAAAACGTAATCCGTGTGCCACCCCTGTTAGTGGCTACGCGAGTGAGATGAAGGACTTCGGTGTATGTTATCAGCTTGTATCCGCCCCAGAGCCCATGTGTTTCGATACAGTCGTTTCCAGCAATGCGTCGTTTGGCAGGAATAGTTGAGCGATGAGTCTGGGTCTGCAGAAACCTGAGCTCGGCGCGAAGAAGCTCTGGGTCGATTTCCAGGATTCCATTGGCAATGTCCACTGGATAGCACGTTAGTACAAACGTGAACAAGAGACTTTGTCAAGAGACTTGCCTTTTGCTTTCATGAAGAAATGAGTCGTCTCGGCCTCGGATTCAGGTCCGCCACAAAATGCGATAAGAAATTCATTTGGTTTGAATGACTTGAGTCTGAGAGACTTCTTCGGGGGCATCTTGCATTTTGTCGGTTCTGTCCAGGCCGCAATGCGCTTGGTGGCAGCAATTTCCGAGTTTCCAGATACGAAAAAGCGAGTTCCATATAGACGTGGCTGTGGGTGACATGTTCGTCTCATGACAATACGGGTAAGATTGGTGTTCTGCGAAGGGAGGTATTCGGTAGGGACGCGGTGCCATGCTGGTTCTCTTTGGAAGGGGATTGGTGCTCGTAAGACGCCAACCCAAGACCTACAAATGCCAACAGTCAGTAAGTTCAGCCGTCACATGACGTAATTCACTTGTGGAATTTGATATGAGATTTTCATACAGATTTGTGTAGCGAAGACCGGTAGAATTCTTTCCATAAGATGAAGTGCCATTGTCAGGTGCCGGGAAGAAGATAACGAAAGACGGGGGCAGGTTCAAGCTGTGAGACGCGCCATGTCAGTTTCCCGAATTCAAGAAATAAATGTCTAGATGTTCCATCACCATGAACATGTACTTACCTGATCTTGGGCTTGAGCCCAAGTCCCCAGATTTGGGGAGTAGGCGCGTCCATGAGGTCGGCCTACGAAATCGGGTGTTTGGAACGCGATTGCAGTAATCGAAAAGTGACAGGGCAAGCGCGTTGCAGATTGGTGAAATTGTTTTGTGAAAAGTGTCGTAACGGCAGTAGCAAAGAATTTGTGCTAAGAGCATCAAAAAACCGTAAAAGAGCAGTGCGATTTGAAAATTGCTTTGAATTGTTCGTAACAGTAGCTGGTGATGAAGATGGGAAAATACAGACTCTCTCTCATACATCCGTCTAACTAGCATTTGTTTACCTAGGCCCAGCCAGCATCATTGCGTACCGGAGGACGCTAGTCCTGAACGGGACAATGTGGGCCCCTGGCCATAGAGTGGTGGGGCTTCTAATAAACGCGCCTGTGAAAGAGTAGCGATTGTGGGCTGTTCTCATTGGCCCATGGCACTCAGGTAAGCGACAGCTGGTCGCGTAAATGGCATCGTACGCGAGGCAGGAGCAGCCGCGGCGTCGTGTTGCGTACCATCACACGTCATCATTTCAAGAGCTCCAAAAACAATAAGGTTTCCAAATGATGAATTTGCTTGTGAAAAGGGCATGTTATTAGCAATCCCAGTGCCAAATTTTCGTTTCGCATTGCTGGCGAGCTCCCAGGTGCTGACTGATCCGCCCTTTGACGTCGAGACAAGGTCGTGTGGGGCAGCAAACGCATTCATTGTCTGACTGCCCCTCCAAGAAGCGGCTCTAGCTCCCAACAGCCCAGCCCTCGTCACTGTGAATCTTGGGACGTCATCCCTTTGACGTTGACGCCTTTGGACTACAATATTGTATCGCTGAGCCACGACTCGGGATACACCTTCCAAGCGAGCCTCTACCGAATCTTGAACTCAAGTAGTTTTCATCCTAACCTCCCCTCCCGCCACCTTAAAACCGCGTTCCAACCACCGCCATGAACCGAATTTTCGGCTCCAAACAGTCTGGCCCAAAGCCCACTCTCTCGGGCGCCATAACCAACATTGACACGCGGATCGCCTCTATTGATACGAAACTAAAAGCCCTCAACGGTGAACTGTCCGCATACCAAGAAAAGCTGTCCAAATTGCGTGAAGGCCCCGGCAAGCAAGCCATCAAGCAAAAAGCCCTCAAGGTCCTTCAGCGCCGCAAAGCCTACGAGGCCGAAAAGGAAAAACTCGAGGGCCAAGTATGGAACATGGAGCAGGCGTCCAGCATGCAGGATAATTTGAAAAATGTCATGACGCAAGTCGATGCGATGAAGACGACCAAGAAGGAGCTACAGAAGCAATATGGCAAGATTGATATCGACAAGATTGAGCAGCTGCAGGATGAGATGGCGGATTTGATGGACGTGGGGAATGAGATTCAGGAGAGTCTGGCGAGGAGCTATGATATTCCGGATGAGGTGGACGAGACAGAGCTGGATGCTGAATTGGAGGCTTTGGGGATGGAGCAAGAGTTGGAAATGGAAATGGGAGGTGCGGTGCCTGGGTTTTTGCAGGATGAGGTAATGCCCGAGTTTGTGGATGAGCCTCCTCAGACGGAGGATAAAGTGAAAGAGGCTGCCGGTTAGGTACTTATGTATAGGACAAAAACTACATGTTCCAAGGGGGCGGTATTTTGGAGGCTTTGGAGTTGGAAAACAACTAAGCTGCTTCAAGGTCGCGGCGATAAATGTGGCATAGCAAGCGTGGGTTCGCACGAGTTCACTGTGGGTGAATGCAACTTTGTACTCACTGCTATAGCACTTCACATCAGATCACCACGTCGAGGCATTTACGTAGCGGATATGACTTATTAAAATACTCAATGTTTAATTCCTAATTCCTAAATCCTACACGTGTCAATGCGAGATATCTCCCAGTGAAGTCGCAACCGATCCATAAACACCCATCACGGTCCATCAACTATGGGCCTATGCCCCAATGTGCGCCTTGGTATGTGTCAACACCTTCTTTCCAAGATATAAACCAGTCCCTTAGTGCCAAAAGTTCGCCAAAAAAAAATTAAAATATTGGTCACACGAGTGTCCCATCTCATCATAAGATCCAGCACGAAACAACTCCCTGACATGCAGGCGGCTAGGAAAGCAGCCAAAAAAATCAGTGTCTAATCCACTGTAGCAAAGAATCGAGCAGTCTCCTCGAGCTCACTATCTCCGTTGCAAAAGTCCCAGCCCACAATGACGGGCGCTTGGCTACAGCACACAATCTTGCGAGCATCGAACTGGAGCTTGAATACGCGAGCTGGTGCATTCTCTGCCCCGGCAATATGCGGGTGGTGATGCGCCGGCGGGGGAGGGTTGTGTTGTGCTGGTACTTGGGCTGGTTGAGCTGGTGCAGGCGTGGGGGTCGGAAGAGGATTTGGCATTGGCGTAGCAGCCGTTGCCATGTTCACGTCTGGAGCAACATGTATCGCAGCTAGTGATGGTCCGGCGATGGCTTGTGTTGGTCTAGGGGTTGGGATATCTGCGGCCTGGTACGTTGCCGGCATTCCGGGAGGATTGCTGGGTCCCGCAACAGAAGGACCAGCAGCGGCAGCAGGCGGCGCTGTTGAGGCTGGATTCGGTGTACTGGCCGGGCGTTGTCTTGTCGACTGCTGCCCGGTTTGAAAGGCGACTAACGCTGCTGTGATGGCTTGTCGAAGCTGTGTGCGTGCCAATGGCGACGGCTCGCGTTCAATGACAGACTGCAGGTAGTTGTGGTGGCTAAGCATGGCTGGATAATTGGCCAATGTCTGCTCCAGTGCTCGGGCACCAAGGGGGACGACTTGATCAATCAAGTTCATATAGAGCCCGGAGGTCCCCTGCGCACCGACGCTGGGGTCGACGCTGGCCTGGCTCATCTCCCCAAGGGGCGGGAGTCTGCTGCGGGAGGCAGGAATGCGCATGGCCGGGGGACCAGCAGATGGGTGCATTGGGAGGCCCCCTTGGTGTTGATTTGAAAAAGTAGGTTGTAGGATGGGTTGTGGCGGTATGGCCAGGGCCATGTTTCTCTGCGCTGCAGCTGCCGCCTCTTCCTGGCGAAGGTGATGGGCCGGTTTCCAAACACCCTCCTTGTCACGTCTCCAAATAATGATGCTCTGATCGTATGACCCAGACACAATTCGTCCATACTTGCGACCGCCGCCCCCTCCAGGTGGCACCTTGGCTCCAAATGCCTGCACATCAGCCGGCCTAGAGCTCCCTGCGTTCACTCTCCTAGTTCTTCGGTTTCGTCTCTCACCATCACGGGCCACCTCTCCGGCCTCAACAGCTTTGAAGTACTCAGCATCCACAATCTTGGCATCCACCTCATCTTCAGCCTTGCTGTATGGCAGATCACCAAAGCCCGCTTGCACGGTTCTGACCAAATGCGCGTGGCCACGTAATTGTGCAACCTTCAACCCGGTAGGCGCGTCAAAAATGCACACCTCGTAGTCACTGCTACCACTTACAATTCGTCGTCCGTCGAACTCGACGCAGGCGATGCCCTTATCGTGAGCAGGGATGGTTTGCGTGCACACTTGGTCCGGCCAGTCCCAAACCTTGATATGCCGGTCTCCGGACACAGACACGATGGTGCGATCTCTAACCTGAATGGCATTGACGGCAGCACCGTGGCCTTCCAACCGACCAATCATGGTATATGGTTCCTTGACAGGTAGCTCCTGGGCTAAATCCGGTTCATAGCCGTATCGCTTGATGGTCTTCCCAACGGCGCTGAATGCCGACTCGCCCGCCCCATACCCCAGCTCTCCAAAGCGAAGTGGTCTTCTGTTAAAGATTTTGATGGTTTTGTCTTTCGAGGATGTGACAAGAATCCGTTTGTCGAAGCGAACATTCAAAACTGACTCACGATGCGCCTTGGTAATTTGTTGAATAAGCTCGCCGGTTGAGAATTTCCAGATGAAGACATTAGAGTCACTGCTGCCCGAAACAATGATATCCTCGGAGGGGTGAGCGTCAAACTGCAGACACAAGACCGAACCATTGTGTCCGATTAGCGGGGGTCGAACTAGGCGACGCGTTCGAACGTTCCAAATACGCATCGTCTGGTCTCTGCTGCCGCTCACTAAATAGTCTGCGTCGAACTGCAGAGTATAAACGCATTCTTGATGTCCCTCTTCGGGGTACTGAGGGTGTGGCAGCTGGAAAGTCGTGTATTTGCCAAGTTCCCAGTTGGACTCCAGTCGTCGTCGCATGTTGTAAAGATACTTCCAGTTAATGCGATACCTTGAGCTACCAATGTCCCAAGCCCACAGGGTTGATCGTATTGAAGCACTTGGGTGATCTGGAGGCAATATAGGAGGCAAAGAGGGTTCCGGTGTCCCTCCGGGCTCCTTTCGCTTGGCACGCACAACATCTGATGAACCACAGCTCCTATCTACGCCTTTGCCCTTGTAGGCTGACGAACTTGACGCAAAACTAATGTCCATATCGACATCCCCGCCTGTGAGTGACATAAGTTGCCGATTTGAGGAAAATGATGAGCCAGGAGTTCCAAAAATGCTGCTACCCTCGATTCCTACTGGTTCTGGGACCATGTCCTGGCTCCGAGACGTCCCTGTCATTTCCTGGTCTTCATCTTCATTCAGTATCGCACGAATCTTGTTGGTCTGGCCATCCGCATTCTGGATTCGATGTAAGTGACCAATAGAGCTTGTTAGACCAACGTTGACTCTGCCCTCGCACAGTTCAATCTCGCTCGCCACCGCCTTCCAGCCTTCGAGATGGTACAGGCGCTCCCAGAGTTTCCGATCCAATGCCAATTCGTACCAAGCGCGGCATGTTTGGGCGACACCAACTAATGAAACGGGATCTAGATATCCCAGTATTTTGAGACAGATTTCGGCTGGAAGATATTGGACGAAATCGATGTATAGCCGGGGATTTAATCGCTGGACGATCTCGGCGATGGCCGATGTGGGAAGGTCATCGAGAAGCGCGAGTGTTAATTCTGCGTAGGAAAACAACAGTCAGCAACAGCGCTCAACTAGTCAAGTTTCAAGATGTTTGTTAATTACCCTTCTTGACAGACACTGGCAACGCCGAGGCATTGCTTGCCAACCAAGATGGCAGCTCTGCCGGTGACCGTAATGTCGCTAAACTCGCCGGCAGACCATGATGAACGGTAGGATTTAAAGGGTCCTCCGAATAGCCTTCATCGGGCTGATGTGCTGGGGAAAACGGATCCATGGCCGGAAGTTGGTCAGGCTTCGCCATTGGGCTGGAAGCCAAGAGACGGACGACGCGGGGAGCCGAGAACACGGCCTGGCAGAAAAAATTGAGGCAAATAAAGTTTGCACAGGCCACAGGCCACAGGCGATGCAGCAGATGGCAGGATTTATTATTTCGCGGGGCGGCTGCCGGGGCGACCGTGATGCCGTGTCGATCCGGCCTGATGCGTGGTGGATTGAAGCTCCCTTGGCTGACTGAGACTTGGTCACGAAGCAGGCGCAAACACGATGCGCCCGTTTGAAGCAGCGGCGTAGCACGAAAGCGATGCCGAGCCGCTGTTGTCTGTCAACTATCAGCGCGTGCACACGGCGGTCCTCCTCGATCTCGGTGAGATGGGGGCTTTCGTGAAACGATGACAGCCGAGAGGGTCTCGTGGTGTTTGTTATCAAGGCGTCCGCGGGCGGCGACTTGGGGGTGCTGGGGTTGCACCGGAATGAGGCAAGGACCAACAGCAATTGAGCTTGAGCAGCAATTGAACCAATTGACGGCTCGGCCAGCAAGGACAAGGGCAGCGGGTGACGGTTACGATGGCTGTAACGAGTCTGGTGAGGTCAATGTCAATTCCGGGTGGCGGCTGGGGCGGCGAATGGCGGGTGGTAGCACTAATCGTTGGCCAGGCCAGACATCCATAGGCCTCGAGCTAGCGCACGATAAGCCGAATGATTAGCGCTCTCGGGCCTGGCAGCTTAGCAGCACCAAGTGCAGACATCAGTTAATTTCTGGTGGCCTGGGTGAATACAGCACGCACCTGGGCCGTACGGAGTACCACTCGTTATCGACAACAGGCGTGACAGTGAAGTCTAGAACTAGAATCCCAGCATCAATGTTTATGTAAGCCCAAGGAGGCAAACTCGGTTCTACAGCCGTAATGATTTATGCAAGGCCCCAGGTGCCAGCATTGAAGGTGCATGTGGTCTTGACAACTTGTCCAGTCTATAGCGATGTATTATTTTCGCGTATCGCCAGGACACGCACTCGGGTTGTAAAGTACGGAGTACACTGAGCCACCAGTCGCCATGTTTGATACTGTATGTAGCATCCCATGTAAGTACCTAGACTTGAGTAAGCAATATGTACTTACTTAAGTAGGCAAATACCTCCTCCTGTTCGAGCCAACCACGATTTCTTGCGTTGGCCAGATGCCGCAAATATCCAGCCTATGACTATACGGTTCAACTTTTTTTAACCCATGGTTGATCAATCGCTGTTACCAAATGGAAGTGCTGGTTAGATGGCTTCAAGTGTCCCATGTCAAGCGGGGATCGCGGCGGCCCAGGATTCTTCATGGTGCGACTCCAAGCATCTGGGCATGCCTGCTAGGTGCTTGCATAGACACTTGAGAAACCCTCCTTCAATCTCTCTCGAATGGGAACTCTTCCTTGATCGTCATCATGTACCACGTATGCATGTCAAACAAGTCAATGCCGTCGTTCGGCTTCATGCCTGCACCCACTAATCCGTCCCCAGAGTTGCAACTTGCAAGAGTTGGGCAGACACTATGCGCTCGCTGGAAGGAGAATTCGACGCTCCCTCGCGTGCCTCCTCTCTATACAACTCGGGAGAACATTCCTTGATGCTCTGCATCCAGTCGCCGCGAGGGCATGAAAGGAACATTCACTTATCAGTTGGTGTGGCCGCTCAGGCACGGATGCAGACGAGGAGCCAAGCCCAATAGACGATGCAACGCAGGTTTGTAGATACGAGGACAAGGCATCGCCAACTTGGAAACCAAACACGTCCATGCCTGTCATGTACTCTCGACTCGGGCTCGTCCGTCGTCGTATCGATGCTGCAACATGCCGCCTTGCAGGCGGCTTATCACCACTTTCATTTCACGTAATAGCATCAAATCGACCATGGAGTCTCGTCCTGTACTGTCACAGATATGACATAATGCTCAAGTTGAGAATGCTTGCACGCCGACTATAACTGCCTCATTCCTTGTTTCACTAAAACACATGGTGCGGGTTTGTTTCCGGCACCGCCTCTCCCCGAGAAGCAAACGGAATCCCTGGCTGTCAAGTTTTACTTTTACTGTATGTATGTATGTACAGTTCCTCGACTAGTCGTGGCTTCACCTGTCAATCACCAAGCCGCCGCGGGCTGAAGCGTATCCGGTTATGCGGCCGCGTGTGCCTGCGGAATACTACCAACCACAACAATGCGTTTCATGTGTCACGGCATTTTATGGCTATCCGTGACGATGACGATGATTTCAGCATCTCGGCTACGACATTCCTACCTACTTGTAATGGCCTATACTAAACCAAGTGGATTTCAGTATCGTTCCAATTGGAAAATATCGAGACACCCGGGCACTTTGTGCTCTACAGGGTAGTCCATGCGCAAAGCAGGTGGACAGGTGTTGCTAACTAGCAATGACTACCATACCCAGGTAGATAAGTGAGTTTCTCTTGGCGCCGAGGTCTGCTTTACATGCTTACATTCCAGCAAAGAGTAGTTTCATCGAGCCGCTGCATGCCCCAGAGCGCCTGCATTGCGATGATATGAAGCGATTCTTGGACCGTACCTGTACTCCCGACTCGAAGGCATTCTTTCGGGCTGGGGACTTTCCAGCCTCATCATCTAGCCTAGAGGAACAAAGATGATTTGTATTCGTCCCCGATTAGAAATAGACATGGCCCTAGGAATTATAAGTGCAGACAATCAGCTGTCCAGTTCGGATGCCGGCTCGCCACCTTTTACCACGACCCAGTAACTACCTAGGTAGTAGTAATTGGTGTTTTTTTAGATGGCGCAGGCCAACGAACATCGTCATGTACTCGGTACTGGTTACCTCAGATCTACTGTCGTAACCATGCGGTTCTGCATAGACAAGGACCGTGTAAAATGGAGACGCATGATGGCCATGCATCGCAGGTACCCTCCCTCGCCCTTCACATGGCGTCCACGGTTGGAAAAAGCAATGGAAAGTGGCTGCGGGCTGCTTTGGCTAGGAGGATGGTACCGGCCGAACTAGTTGTGGAGTTTGTCGAGGCCGTGCCGAAGGGTCGGTTGGAAAAGGCGCATTGTGATGGCATGCTTGAGTGAGTGAATGGCCGGAAGGCTAGAACTTGGATGTCTGGTTGTTGCATGGATCGCAGACAAGCACACAAGCGGCTGGCTTGGCGCGGTTTTGCGCTCGCAAGGTCCCCAAGTTCCCAAAATCAACTTCCCCTCTTCCCCCACCAGCCTGGCAGCAGAACAATTGACCAGACAGGATAGGCAATTATCCCGTCAACCTGCTGAACCTTGTTTGGCTCCCCAATGGCTCCCCCCCTATGTCCTTTACGTATGTATGTACTTGCTGAAAGATGCGACAAAAACACCCCCGAAAAATCGTCATGCCACACACAAGTCGGTGGCTAGTCTTTCTTGACGTCGTCAGCTGATGCTCACCCAATGCGCATTTCACTCCAGCCAGTGACTATTGGAATCTATCCATATACATGTTCCTTGTGCCTGATGTGGCAAGGACACACTCAACAAGAAATAAAACATAAAAGGCACGGGGACAAAGGTCAACCCAGGCCTCCATCTGTTACTCCAACTCCGTATCAAAGGGCCGAAATGTGGTGGTGCCATCCTATGGTGCCGCCGCCGTCAAGCACATGACGTTGGCGAAACACCAAACGGCGCTCCAGCGAACCCGGTGGCAGTCTTCGAAACAAAGACGCCACTCTAACGAGGACCGACCCCCTTTTCCATTTTCACTTGGACAGGTGCTGACGTTGTGCAATAGCCTATCACGGTTCCATGGCGCTGGACGGTGACCCGATGGGTAGCCGTCGTTGACTCGAGGGTTTCAACTGCCCAGCCCAAGCTTTGACGATTGGATGGTGGGCATTTGTAGATTTCGGCGCAGAGCGACACCCTGACTAGCATCGTGATGAGCCCACCCTGACCAGAAGAAGGGCCCGGTATGAAGGATGTATGTACATACCTACGCCATGCAGGCTATACGGAGTATTAATTGGGGGCAGATATGATCTACAAGTGCCAAGCGTGACACACAAAGTTGAGTATTGGGGACAAAGTTCGGTACGTATGTATGGACGCAAGAAAGAGGGCTTGCTTGGACCCTACGGCTGATCCTAATTCAGCATCCATACCTGGTCGTCTGTCAAGCGGGATGGCGACGACAGGGACAAAGCACTCGGGGCTACGGAGGTCTGGTAGCATTGTTGTATCAGAGCAGCCCAACTTTGGGAACCCAACGTCGAACTGGGCAGCCCATAGACCCGATGCTGGTGGAGGAACGGCAGAGGCCAGCCCAACTGTTCCAGCCCACGGCAGCGAGCGACGGTGAATTGATTCGGAAGATTGAACAGAGATCGGAGGGCCCCATACACGCACAGCTGGACCATCAGAGCGCCGTAGGAGGGGCTGAGAAGCCGATTGAATTAAACAAGTCGCTTCGTGCATGTATTTGCAGTCAGCCACACGCAGGTCCAGGCTGGCGATGATGACGGCAATACCTGCATCTCGGCGGCGGCGTACATGCCTACCTACCTAGTTACATACGTACTTGGGAGGTATTTACCTACATCAATTGATGGCAGACTTCTCCGTCCTTTTGAGTGCGGTCAAAATAATCCATGCTTTGCAGCCCAACTTCTGCCAGGCAGGCCCAGAGACTAGACAAAGCCCTAGTCTAGCGTTGTCTACTTACTTAAGTTTTGAAGTACCGAGCATTGATTTAGCCTCGCTCCTGCTCTTGGGGTACCTATTGAATAGGACCAACCTACTTGTTAAGGTATTACTAACAAAAGTACATACCTACTTTACCCAGGCTAGAGGTAGCCTTCTCGAGTAGGATTGGTGTCAATACGTTTGATGGTAAAGTTTTAAACGCGACATGGGCCCCCAAATGCTCCAGTGCCGCCTGTTCATGTCACCACCAGTTTGATCCCCTGCCCCTCCACTAGCGGACCGCCAACGCCAACGGACCAGTGGCCTGCACCCACTCACACTCACACACCAGA